AGAAAATCTGAAAAGAAGTATAACAGATCAAAAGATTGAATCAGCAATCAAAAACCTTCCAACAAAAAGCTCAGGACCAGATGGCTTCACTGATGAATTCCCCCAAATACTTAAAGAAGAATTAACACTAGTCCTTCTCAAACTCTTCCAAAAAATAAAAGAGGAAGCTACACTTTGTAATTCATTCTATTTGGCCAACTATAAGTATAATGATACCAAAGTCAGACAAAGATATCAGAAGAAAACTATAGGCCTGTACCCCTTATGAATATAGATGAAATAATCCTCCATGAAATGCTAGCAAATAAATTTCAGCAACATCTTAAAAAGATTATGCATCATGACTAAAGAGGATTTATCCCAGGAATGCAAGGATGGTTAAAAATATGAAAATCAATGTAATACAACATAATGATAGAATGATGGAGGGAAGACACACATCTAATTTGATGCAGAAAAAGCATTTGAAAAATCCAATTCTCTTGTATGATAAAAATACTCAATAAATTTAGACGAAAAGGAAACTTGCCCAACATGATAAAGGGCATTTATGAAAAATGCACAGCTAACATCATACTCATGGTAATTAACTGAAAGCTTTTCTCCTAACATCAGGAACAAGTCAAGGATGCCTATTTTCACCACTTCTATTCAACACTGTACTGTAAGTTCTAGCCAGAGCAAATCAGCAAGAAAAAGAAATAAAAGGCACTGAAATTGAAAAGGAAGAAGTAAAATTATCTATTTGCAGATAACATGATCTTGTATATAAGAAATCCTAAGGAATCCACACAAAATAAACTATTAGAGCTTGTAAGCTAATTCAGTAAATTTTCAGGGTACATAATCAACACACAAAAATAAGTTGATTTCTATACACTATCAGTGAACAATTTGAGAAGGAAATTAAAATTCCATTTACAATGGCATCAGAAAGAAAAAAATACTTAGGAAAAATTTAACTAAGGAGGTTCAAGACTCATACACTGGAAACTACAAAACATTGCTGAAATGAAGAAAACCAAAGTAAATGCAAAGATGTCTCATATTCATGGATTGGAAGACAATATTGTTAAAATGACATACTGCTGAAAGCAATCTGCAGATTCAATGCAATCTCTATGAAAATCCCAGTGGCCTCTTTTCCAAAAATGTAAAAATTTATCCTAAAATTAATATGGAATTACAAAGGATCTCAAATAACCAGAACAATCTTTTTTTTAAAAAATGGAGTGGCTTTATATTTTTTTAATTAAAAAAATTTTTTTTTAAAGATTTTATTCATTTATTTGACAGAGAGAGAGAGAGAACAAGTAGGCAGAGAGGCAGGCAGAGAGGCAGGCAGAGGGAGAGGGAGAAGCAGACTCCCTGCTGAGCAGGGAGCCCAATG